CCAGATTTCGAATTGATGTTAAATGTGAATTTCGCAAATTCGAATCAAACCCAAAATCAATTTTTTTCTTAATTAACATCAATTCACATGAGAAACAACTTTCAGATTTGGAATTGATGTTAAACTGAAATCAAATTTCGCAAACAGTCTCAGTCTCAATTAACATCAGTTCACATTTACCATTGAAAGCTCGAGTAGTTGGATCAATCAGTGCCGCTGATCACTCTCCCTAACAACACCGCAACAAATCCCAACCATTAGATCTCAAACACCATCACCAAAAAAACTTTCCTCCAATTACAGATCAAATCAAACGAACTCTTCGATTTGAGGCTTCAACAAGAGAGAGATATTAGAAGTTAGGAAATGAAATGCAATCCGGGTTTAAGTTCAGGTTCACTTCCGTTCGATCGACCTCAACCTCCGATCCCAAGACAAGGTGAAGGAGATGATCAAAACTTGAGTCTTTAACGACATGAATTGAGTAGTTTGGTGGCGATGGAGATTACAATGGACAAGGTGAAGGAGACGATCGATTTAATTTCCCAGATTTGGTTTATTTGTTGTAATTAGGTTATAGTCGGTTTCGTTTTCAAAAAAAAAAAAAAAAAAAAAAAAAAAGGTTATAGTCGGTTTAATTTCGGTTTGGTTTCGTATTCAGGTGGTTAAGGTTGGATTGATAAACTGTAAACCGATACAAATCCTGGTATATGTATAATTTGATTTCGAACTTTTAATCCGTGGGTATACAGATTTCGAAGTTTCAATATATGTGTAAATAGATCCAGAACTTTCATCCGAGGGAGAAATAGAATGAGGTTGTAAATCGGTATGGTTCTGGTGCTATGTAAAACTTCCGAGGGGGGAAATAGGTCGTTTACCCAAAGTCTCGCTTATTTACGAGATGTGTAATTAAAAATATTAATTCCTTACCAGAACGTGATTGGTTCAAGGAGAGCTTCGTGGAGGGACAATTCTTATATCTGTCGAAGGTCAATTCTTGTTTATATATGACAAATTAACAAGTTTGAGTCTTTAGATATGTTTCAGGTTTGTATTTGAGTTTCACTTTGAGTCTTTCAATTTTAAGATTGTGTTTGTGTTTGATTCTCAGTTTTATGTTTGTGTTTGAGATTAAGTTTTAGTCTTTCATGTTTTTATTTGACAGTTTGAGTATCACTTTGAATTTTATTTTCAGTTATGGGTGAGTTTGATCTCGTGGAATCAATCACCACATTGTTGTTCTTTTCATCACTGCTCTAAATAGTCTACATTGCTATCATCATAAATCACAAAAATCATAATTCACATAAATGCCCATAGGCCGGCCCGTTAACCCACTGGGCTTTGCGGGGCGGATCTGGGCACTGTTTTATTGTCCGCGGTCTTAACGGCCCGGCCCGTAGTGGTCCAAAAAAAAAAGAACAAGCCTATAGCGGGCGGCCCAGATGAGCGCGGGCTGGACCGTTTGACACCCCTATATTTTAAGGTATTTTTCAATATTAAATAAATTAAAGAAATTGAAATTATCAAAATTTTAATTATTATGATAATCTTATATATCTTTTTTGGTAATTAGAATCTTATATATTTTAATTTTAGAGTAAAGTAACTTAATTTAACTTTTTATTTAAATGATAAAAATTAGGATAAAAGTATCTCTCAAATATATTTTTGAAATAATGATATACATAGTTAAATCTAACGAAATTAAATAATGATATTTTTTGTTAAAAAGGTAAATAATGATTTTAGGATAAAATGGAAGAAGATCCATATCACAAAGAGATATGTCATGTATCAGCTTGTGAAAGTATGAATTTTAAGAGAACCTTACTTTAATATATAATATAGATTTTTAAAATAATGATGTACATAACTAAATCTATTGAAATTATATAATGATATATTTATCTTGTTATAAAACTAAATAATGATTTTAAGATAAAATGTAAGAAGACAGATGTTACAGGGAGAATTGTGACGTTTTAGCTTATCAGAGTATAGATTTGAAGAGAATGTAATAGATATCTAAGAAACTTAACCAAGTCTAAGATATTAAAACTATAAATATTGGACAAACTAAACTAAACTATACCTCGATAATTTTTCATCTTTAATCGAGTTAGAGTGCTCGGGAAGTAAGCGCAACATGGATACGCCAAATGATTTGATGAGAGAAGAGATAAGACTAAAAGTGTCTGAAAATCACGATTGGTCCAAACTTTGTCCCGATCTCTTACGGTCGATTCTCGAAAGCTTGAGCTCTACTGATTTTTACCGAGCAAAAACCGTTTGCTCAGATTGGTATTCAATTTGGAAAACATGCGTGAAGCCTCTTTGTCCATGGCGGATCATATACGTAAAAGATTCTTTGATGTTGTTCAAACCCGGAGAAGACAAGATTTACGAAGGAACAAACGTTGGACTCTCCAACGACAGCTATTATATGGCTAGCTCCGGAAACTGGCTCTTGATGGTCGATTCTCATCTCGGTTTCTACATTTTCAACCTGTTAACGAGCAAAAGAATTGATCTTCCATCAATGGAGTCTTCAATTCGGGGTGGAAATGTGAGATTCGAGCGAAACCACGAGCATGGATTCATCTGGGGACACTTTGTCGAACCTTCTCGTAAGGCTGACGTGTCAAAAGCCGCCATCATACGGGGAAGAACAGTTGTTCTGTGGATAGACGAGAGAACAGGAGATTTTCTGGTTGCTTGGATTTTCAACTATCGTTACTTGTTCTCATACAAGAAAGGAGATGATTCGTGGTGGAATTGGAATAACCATTGGAATATGGAAAACCTAAATTTCATTTTTTGGGATTTGGCTTGCAGATACAACAAGCTTTATCTCTACACTACTAATGGTCACATCAAAGTTGTTGATTTCTCTGGAAATGATCCCATAGAAGTAATCGAAAAAAACCCGTATTGGGAACATCCATTTCGATACTTAACCAAACAAGATGAAAGCATTCTTCATAGTAGAATCGCTATTCAGAAATCAGGAGACGTTTTGATTATCTTGAGTATAGTCTCAATAAGTTCGACAGAGATACCTTTGTTTTATATCTTTAAAATGAATCTTGCAAGTAAAATATGGGAGAGAGTAGAATCTATTGGAGATGATGAGATGTTGATCTTTGGTCATGGGGTTACAATAAGAGCACCGGTTCAAGATGTTGGTGATGGAATCAAGAGTGGTTCAATATATTTCGTTAAGGAAGACTTATGGACAATAGATTTTCATGCTGTTTCAAATTGCGGTGTCTTCGATCTTGCAACAAGTAAAATCAAATGGTCTAAGGAAAACAGTTTTAATAATAAATATGTTACAACTCGGTGGTTTGTTCCAGGATTTTCTTAGTCTTTTGGTTAACTAGTTTTCTTCGATCTTAGAGATAAACCGGGTTACGCCCGGATACATATTTGATAATTTATATTTTCTGAATTAGTTAATTTTGTTTTATTTTAAGAAAATTATTACATGCAAAAATATATTGTGATATATTTTTAAATTTAAAAAATGTGTTTAGTACTATCAATTGTTTAGTTTTATCAATTATTTTTAATGTAATTTATATTTATGAATTTAATTTTTTTTTGTCAACCATTTAATTTATTTTTGTTTCATATATAATATGCATTTTTATATAAAAAATGATCAGTGGGTTTCTCGTAGGGAAGATTAATGTCATAACATTCTTTGTAATGCCAGTCTGAAAAATAAGAAACAAATCTCCTCATCAGCAGGGAAAATCAACTATCCCACAAGTTTGATAATCAATAAGAAAATGAAGCGGGCTTAAAAATAAACTAACCATTATGAAACTCTTGCATACACTTGTTTCATACTCATAATATAATTTATAGATCTCAAAGTTAAGGAAACTAATAGGAAAATCTACTAACGAAAAACCAAAAAAGAGAAACAAAGTAATAATACCAATTCCACGTTTAATTATCCAGGTTCGTCAAGCACCAAATTAGACCAAATGAAAAACCTAATGTAGATGTCTTATCACATAGTTGTGGCGGATATGAAGTCAAAATCAATGTTTTATATCTCCAAAGGGTCTGCAAAGGATTCACATGTGCATATGGAAGAGGTTGACTTTGGTGTGCATATACCCTTACTTCTTTCGGACTCGATATCCAATTTCCCGAGGTAATTCTATAGAACAATCTGTAACACATCAAGTTGTTAGTATATTCAAATCACACACTCTTTTTGTTATATAAATATGCAGTACTTACATCGTCTGAAAACCTTTTCTTGTGAGATGATGAGTGATTATAAGGACAAAGAAGAAGTAACACCAATGAAGGAGCTTGCTAAGAGGTTTACTATGTATGATCCATTTGAAACTGACAAAGAAGATTCAGAAGACATATTTGTAAGAGAATGTAACAATATTGATCTACCCTTTATATAATCCACACCTGCATTAATCTCTTTTCTTTTGTACTCTTTCGTTGGATTCAGGGGAAAACAAGACGCTATGAAATAACGAGTACAATAGCATTGGCGGTGAAACGCAATAAGGAAGTCATGTTTCATGAGAGGTTTCGGGAGAATGGTAAATGGAACCGCAATGACTTCACTTTCAACATCGCCTAGTTACAATATGAACTTTTCTTAGTAGTATTGTTGGTACTCTAATATATCTTCCACAACACTATATCTCAAACGTCTAAGCACATATAGTAGTTGGTTCACTTTATATTTTCCATTTATTCAATTCCATAGTATCTCTTTCACTTTATAATCCATGTATGCTTCTCAATTCCAGTGAGAGAACTTGGTAATTTTGAAACTTATACTACGAGCAAGCTTATCACAAGAAGTTAAACCTTCACGCTAATCATGTTGTAACAATTGGTAAATTATACATATAACCAGACTGTAAATATTATCCAAATCGACAAACAACAGAAATTAGGCTCTAATTCAGAAGATTAAAAATAAAACTTATTGCAGAACAAATAATTCTCGAAATTAAGCTCTTATATTAAAATAAAATCCAGACCTCTCAATTTCATCACTTAAACTCATAAGTAGGCACAGGAGGAGCATCAAAGCTCTCCAAAATGTGAGTTTTGCTCTCTGAATGATGATCCTCTGTTTCCTTCTTCTTCTTAAACAAACTCCCAAACCAAGATCCCGAACCAGCCTCCGAACCAGAAGAAGAAGAAGTCTCCGGTACCGGTACGGGCTGACCAAAAATCTGACCCATATTCACACCATAAGGTAACGAAGAAGCTGCATGATCCTCCATGAACTGCTCGTTCTGCATAGCACTCTGCACTTTGTTCAACATGATACCAGCTCCTTCTATGAGAGCCAACAACACACCTCCGACTAAAGCCGATCTAGTAGACGCGCCTAAGCCTTGACGTAACGAGAGGAATCCTCCAGTGGCTGCACCAGATAAGATCGAGTTCCATGGATCTTCCTTTTGTCTTGCGTACACCATAGCGCAATCAAAGGTTGAGAAAAGACCACCCCACACGGCGAAGCTTCCTCCGACTAGTGGCCCGTTCATTCTTATAGCTTGAACGCCGCCGGAGAGACGAGCTCCGGCGGGAGAGTTGTAGATTCCTTTGATTAGGTGAAACGCTGATCCACCAACAGCACCCATACCAAACGCACTTCCCAAATCATCGAGGATACGATCCGGACATGGCTCTCTCGATGATTCTGGAGTTCCCATCGATTTTCGATTTTGATCTACAAGTAAATTTTTAGGGTTTTAAGAAAAGAACCCTTGAATACGAAATTAAGAATGAGGAAAAATTACATAAAGGGAAAAATATCTTGTTGTTCACGTTATTTGACGATGGTCAAAGCCCATTAAGGCCCATTTGTAAATACGCTTTATCATAAAATATAAACAAAATGCCACGTCAGTTAAGAAGAACCTTATCTTTATTTTAAACGTGGACAAACATTCTCCACCTCACAATGCCATGTCACACAGTATCTAAAACCAACCAATCACAACGCGTCTTTATAGATAAACTTGTTTTTATGGAGTTTGCTTTTAGAGCCATCCATTGACCATTGTCCTATCTTACTTTCTCTCTTTCACCACATAAAAACTCATAAACCTCTATCGAACCAAAGCTAAACACGAAAAAAAAAAACCAAATCTTATCACTCTAAAGAATCTTTATCATGGCCTCAGTAACCTCAGCCACCGTCGCAATCCCATCTTTCACCGGTCTTAAAGCCTCAACCATCAAATCCTCTGCCACCGTCAGAATCCAGACTGCTGCTGTTGCATCACCGAAGCTCACAGTAAAGTCATCTCTAAAGAACTTTGGAGTCGCGGCCGTAGCGGCTGCAGCTTCAATTGCTTTGGCCGGAAACGCCATGGCAATAGAGGTTCTATTGGGAGGAGGAGATGGTTCGTTAGCTTTTGTTCCCAACGACTTCTCTGTAGCGAAAGGAGAGAAGATTGTGTTCAAGAACAATGCTGGATTCCCACACAATGTTGTGTTCGATGAAGACGAGATCCCAAGTGGCGTCGATGTGGCCAAGATCTCGATGGACGAGCAAGATCTACTTAATAGTGCGGGAGAGACGTACGAGGTTGCTTTGACAGAGCCTGGGACTTACAGCTTCTACTGTGCGCCACATCAGGGTGCTGGTATGGTCGGTAAAGTCACCGTTAACTAAAATGTGTTTGTGAGTAAGTGAGGGAGTCTCGGACACCAAGTAGAGGCTCTTCTTTCACATTCTTACATTATTACATAAAGTGTTTTGTAATTCTAAAAGAGTGTTGAATCGAATGGACCGTGATTTGCTGTAATGTGACTGGTTCCATAAATGACTTTTCTTGGTTTATAAATTATATGTAGTTTTATGTCTCGCCCTAAAGTTTCTTGGGAAAATTAGCCCCAATACCACTTTTTTCAAAAAATTTAGCAAATGTATCACTTTCTGAGCCCACTTAGCATCCATACCACATTCATCATGTGAAAAGACGATTATACCCTCCAACTTACTGAGACAAGACCCTGCGGTTGATGGGACTCTCCGAATTTTCTGCCGTCCACAGTCTCTCTCCTAACGCATTGGTAACCGTTTTCGTCCCTCTGGCTGGTAAAACAAAGTTGTCCCCGAGTAAATCCAGATCTTCGTCTTCGGCTCTCTGGCGGAATAAAATAAAGATCAAGTTGTCTCCGAGTAAATTCAGATCTCTGGCTGGTAAAACCACATCATCTGGCGATGGACAATCAAGAGAAGTTGTCCCCGAGTAAATCCAGATCTCTGGCTGGTAAAACCACATCATCTGGCGATGGACAATCAAGAGATCTGGACTTATTCTTGGGGGACATCATTCACTCTATTTCATAATTATTGTCCATGATAAATGTAAACTGCATTTAATGCAATGTTTTGTCCTTCTTCTCTGACACAAAGTTGTCTTTCAGACAAAGTTGTCCTTCTCTGACACAAAGTTGTCCCCGTTTCCCAACCGGCGTCTACTGTAGCTCATTCCCCTGACACATACCTGACGCACAGAGAAGGGCAAAATCGTCTAAGAGTTGCCACACAAACACCAAATGTGGTATGGATGCTAAATCCAATTCAAATGTGGTACATTTGCTAGGATTTTCCCAAAATGTGGCACATTTGGCAAAATTCCCAAGTTTCTTAGGGATATGATTAATTAAGTAGAAAAAAAAAATGTTTGAATTAGCGCTTTTCATAGGGGTAATTAGTTTGATAATCTAATTTATTGAAAATTAAATAAATGACTATGGTGCTAAATGGGTTATTGGTAAATAAGAGGGGAGATTATTTTGTGCAGATTGACCAAATTATCTTAATGTGTACTCTTTGGGTTGGGATACTGTGTATTCTTACAACGTTATGCGGCTATAGATAAAATAGTATGTTATTGGATGAATTACTAATCGCATATCATGAATAAAAATGTGCATGATAGCATTTATTTAGATTAAACAGTGTGTTATATCGGAGTGTTTAAAAAATGCAAAAAAACCATTAGTAATTTGCGGGCAACTTTGTAATCGACCAAGTAATTGAAAATGAAAGGTTAGTTATTGCATATTCCTTATTTTTGATAAATCGAGAGTTGTGGAGCCGGTTGATCTAATGATCACCATCACAATTTCAAGAATAATTTGAATAACATATTCGAAAATTAAATTGAGACTAAACCCTTTTACACCATATAAAAAGCTAGCTAACACAAGTTACCAAATGTAAGAATGTGTATAAAATCCAGCATCTCAACTCTTTTCTTTCCTAACTATAATGACTAGTGAGGTCAATCATCAAAAAAAATAGTGGCCCATTATAAACCATCGTAGTGATTGGGCTTGTAAGCCCACCACTACCATGTACAATAAGTTTTCAAGGGAAAATGAAAACTGATAGTTAAATCTTAAATATATTGGTCTATAGAAATTTGTAGTTTATACATGAATTCGACCGAGTCGGTTAGTGGTTTGTGGCATTCTTAGGGTCTAAATGGTAACCGAGGAATCCGGCTGAATCTGGCTGAATTGCTTAATCTAGCTGAATTTATTTGTGATTTTTTGCGGAATCTGGCTGAATAATTTAAAGTTCAAATGGTAAATGCTGAATCTAGCTGAATTTTTTTAAAAATTAATTAATCAAATAAACTTCTAAAATTTTTAACATCTAAATAACCCTAATCAAATCATACATTAACAAATAAAACAGAGAGATTCGTACCGTGAGGAAGCGATTGGAGCCACTGGAATCGCCTTTCTCTCCGATTTGATTTGCAGAACCCACTGATTAGGTCAACGAACTACTGTTGGTGACCACGCCGACGGTGGAGATGAGCCCACAAAATTAATAAATTGTTTTAACAAAATTAATTAATCAAATAAACTTCTAAAATTTTTAATTAGAAAAAAAATTTCCAACAAAATTAGTTAAAACAATTTATTATGAAAAACTTGTAACTTGTAAAAAATAAGTTTGAATTTTGAAGAAATTTAAAACTACTATATTAGACATATAATCAAGTTACCTAAACACGACTCTGATTTATGTTCTTAAATTAATTAAATTCTCTAAAATATCTAAAAGTTTTTAAGATTACAAAAAAAAATCGAAAGTTTTGAGTTAATATATTTAAATTTTTATCAAACATAATTATTATATATTTTGGTGATTATGGTGAACTCAAAAGTTAATATATTTGATAATTTAATCAAACATAATTATTATTTAAAACCATAAAATCTTAAAATTAATTTTCATTTTTGATAAAAAATGAAATTATAATATTTGTCTAATTTAGAATATTTTTTACGAACAACTTGTACTATTGAATTTCAATATTTATAGTTTCAAGAATAATTTAATTTTTAATTCAAACAAAAAAAAGCCTATCAAAAAAAAATTCCTCAGGAATTCCTCAAGTCTTCAAATGATGTAACATTTTTCTTTTCCACCCAAATTCCTCAACAATTCCTCAAAACTAATGTTACCATTTACACCCTTAAAGAAAGAAGCAAAAGCTTATTTAATACATAAAATTTAAGAATTGTTTCAAATGAAAACAGAGACTATCACATTACTTTAATAAATAAATAAAAATTTATTAGGGTGGGAAAATACAAAAAGAGTAGCAGTTCAGACATCAGAGATCCAAAGGTTAAAGAAGGGAAAGAGCATCTTTGAGGTGGTGATATGGTCTGCTTAGAAGCCAAACAAGAAAGCGACAAAAGATGAACGAGCGAGTCATATGAGTCGACTTTTTTTTGTAAAGAATTCGAAAGTCTCTTTATAAAAAAGAAGCTTCCACGTGATTTCCCTTTCTCTGGTCGGTACTTCTCTCTCATGTCCATTCATCAATTGTCCATTTTTTTCCCTTTCTTGTTTAGTCGATGAATCGATCATCATAGATCGGTTTTTACTTTTCTACTTTCCAATCTTCAAAAAAAAAAAAAAAAAAATTCCGACTTGCCAGTGTTATTATGAAGATATTTTTGAGTTTCAACTTAAAATAATAAGCTAGATAATTATCAGCTAAACGTATTTAAAAACAGAGAGTTTAGGTGTACTTTGTCAGAACAAAATTAAACTTATTTTATATACATTGCAAAAAAAAAGACCACACTGAAATTTAAATTAGTCAAACAATGTAAAAATCACAAGATAAAATAAACCCAACAAAAGTACAATCTAATGAGAGAATGAGAATTTTGATCCGTAGCCAAAAAAGAAATCGATTATACTATCAATGGCGATACATATTGATGTTGCCTCGCAAAAGCCCATCGTGAAAAGTCTGTGTTTTGCTTTTTCTAAATGTGGTAGACTGATGATTGTAGTAAGAAGAGTTTGCTGATGATTGTGGCTAGTGGTTGCTGTTACAGCCACGGTAGGTAGATATAAGGTGCTGCATTGGCTTAAACCGAAGGGGGAATTGGCATGATACTTGATGATAAGGGAGTAAGGGTTGCCAAATTGCTCATGATAAGTTTGAATCTGGACAAGTTTAGGTGGAATGGTTCGATTTATAGTATATATTTTTATTTGTTAAAGTAAAAATAAGATTATTGCTTGAACATACGGTAAAAGCGCAAAGACACATACTCCATAATCTATTTTTTTTCAATTATTGTAATTTTATGAGAGAAGCAGATTGTATGTACTCTTCTTCCACCACACGTGATTCCCTCAAAGACGGCCTTACTTGAAATTTGGCGTTACGCACCCGCACTCTAGGGACCTCACTTTCCTCTCTATCCATTTCATTTATTATTATGCTTAATTTTTTGGTAGAAGATTAGTATTAAAAATTCATTTGGAGACTTTCCAATGAATGACTTTTAATGCAAAATTATTTCCAAGCGTTTCTATTAGATATACTTGCTCGACCCTGGCCAAATATTTAAGTCAAAAGAGAAAATCTGGCTCTCTTCTCATAAATATTTTGAATGCAAAAAATAGCATTTACAAAACTTTATGTAAAAAATTTCAATCCCTTTTTTCCGTTATTGTTGGGTAAGATCTTGAATGGTTACTAGTTTTTAAGTGATGTTTGGTTTTTGTTTATAGAAAAATCTAAATTTTCACCATTCAAAATTTTTAAAAATTCTAGGAAAATTAGTTTTTTAGTAGTTTCTCCAAATTTCAAAAACTAGTAAAATGGAAGAATAAGCATAACATTTAACTTTTTTTGCTTATAACATTTAACAAAAATCTAATTTTTTTTGGCATAACATTTAACAAAAGAATAAGCAAAATTCTAATTGGCTACGTAAAAAATAAATATTCAAATGGAAGAATCAATGTATTTAATTTTGTTTATTCAATTTGCACAACCTTCAAAGAGAAATAAAAAAAAGTTTTTAATATTCCTAATTTGGCTTGTAATTTACTTGTTTTTTTGGCAGGGCATTTATTATTTTTAAAAGTCTGGTTTTGAACTGGATTTTTTTAAAATAGTCCAATATAGATATTCTCTCAGTATATCTACAGATTAAAAACTCTTACAACTTTTTGTCTTAAATCCGGCAAGAAGTAAAAGAGGCGTCAATCTCTATCTCTCTCTCTTCTCTTGGTCTTCCTCACTCTTAACGAAACATGGACTCTCTAACACTCTTCTTCACCGGCGCTCTCGTCGCCGTCGGTATCTACTGGTTCCTCTGCGTCCTCGGTCCAGCAGAGCGTAAAGGCAAACGAGCCGTAGATCTCTCCGGCGGCTCAATCTCCGCCGAGAAAGTCCAAGACAACTACAAACAGTACTGGTCTTTCTTCCGCCGTCCAAAAGAAATCGAAACCGCCGAGAAAGTTCCAGACTTCGTCGACACATTCTACAATCTCGTCACCGACATCTACGAGTGGGGATGGGGACAATCCTTCCACTTCTCACCATCAATCCCCGGAAAATCTCACAAAGACGCCACGCGCCTCCACGAAGAGATGGCCGTAGATCTGATCCAAGTCAAACCTGGTCAAAAGATCCTAGACGTCGGATGCGGCGTCGGCGGTCCGATGCGAGCGATTGCATCTCACTCGCGAGCTAACGTAGTTGGGATTACGATAAACGAGTACCAGGTGAACAGAGCGCGTCTCCACAATAAGAAAGCTGGACTCGACGCGCTTTGCGAGGTCGTGTGTGGTAACTTCCTCCAGATGCCGTTCGATGACAACAGTTTCGACGGTGCTTATTCGATCGAAGCCACGTGTCACGCACCGAAGTTAGAAGAAGTGTACGCAGAGATCTACAGGGTGTTGAAACCCGGATCTATGTATGTGTCGTACGAGTGGGTTACGACGGAGAAATTTAAGGCGGGGGATGATGAACACGTGGAGGTAATCCAAGGGATCGAGAGAGGTGATGCGTTACCTGGGCTTAGGGCTTACGTGGATATAGCGGAGACTGCTAAAAAGGTTGGGTTTGAGATAGTGAAGGAGAAGGATCTGGCGAGTCCACCGGCTAAGCCGTGGTGGACTAGGCTTAAGATGGGTAGGCTTGCTTATTGGAGGAATCACATTGTGGTTCAGATTTTGTCTGCTGTTGGAGTTGCTCCTAAAGGAACTGTTGATGTTCATGAGATGTTGTTTAAGACTGCTGATTATTTGACCAGAGGAGGTGAAACCGGAATATTCTCTCCGATGCATATGATTCTCTGCAGAAAACCGGAGTCTTCGTCGCCGCCGCCGGAGGAGAGTTCTTGAGAAAGGTAGGAAAACATTTCCGGATTATGGAGAATTGTCTCAATTTGTTTTCATTTTATTTTTAAGTTAAACAACTTGGTTATTGTACTCTTTTTGTGTTTAATTTTAATTTGGTTTGTGTTTTGAAGAATTTTAGCTTTTTTTATAATAAGAATCTTACTCTTGATTTCTCCGCCGGAAGCGTAGAGCCGGCGATACATGGGGGATGATTAGTATTTTTAAGTGTGTTGAGATTTAAGATTAATTAACAAGTTACAAGTGTTGATTAGTAAATTAGAATGTACTTAGGTGTCGACAGCCTGTGTAAGGTGTACTACTGACTGATGTGAGTGAGTGTCTGAATTTCGGTTATGGTCTGTGGGTTAAAAAAATAATTTTGGTTAATCTATATATAATAGCAATCTAATAAATATCATTTGCACGTCTGAACGGTTGCGTCTTTTTATCGTAACTTTTCGTCTAAATCGGTTATTTTTTTACGATTATTTTGGTTGCGTCTTTTTATCGCAATTTTCGTTTTAATCCGGTTTTTTTTAACGGTTATGTCGTTTCCAATAAAAGTCATTTGCACTTCTGAAAGGTTGCGTCTTTTTATCGCAGTTTTCCGTTAAAATATTTACGTTTATTTTTCCGGTTATGTTTTTATCGCAACTCTTCGTTAAAATATTGATGGTTATTTTTCGTTGTGTCTTTTTATTGCAACTTTCCGCTAAAATATTGGCGATTACTTTTTTTTTGTTTGTGTCTTTTTATCGCAACTTTCCGTTACAATATTGACGGTTATTTTTTTCGGTTGTATCGCAAATTTCCGTTAAAATATTAACGGTTATTTTCTCGGTTGTGTCTTTTCATCGCAACTTTCCGTTAAAATGTTGACGGTTATTTTCTCGGTTATATCTTTTTATCGCAACACTCCGTTAAAATATTGACAGTTATTTTTCTCGGTTGTGTCTTTTTATCGCAATTCTTCATTAAAATATTGACGGTTACTTTTTTCGTTGACAGTTATTTTTTCGGTTGTGTATTTTTCTATCGCAACTTTTCGTTAATATATTAACGGTTACTTTTACGTTTGTGTCTTTTTATCGCAACTTTCCTTTAAAATAATTACGGTTACTTTTTTCGTTGACGGTTATTTTTTCGGTTGTGTCTTTTCATAGTAACTTTTCATTAAAATATTGACGGTTACTTTTTTCTCGGTTGTGTCTTTTTGATCGCAACTCTTCGTTAAAATAATTACGGTTACTTTTTTCGTTGACGGTTATTTTTTCGGTTGAGTCTTTTTATATTAACTTTTCGTTAAAATATTGACGGTTAATTTTTTCGGTTGTGTCTTTCCATCGCAACTTTTCGTTAAAATATTGACGGTTATTTTTGCTCGGTTGTGTCTTTTTATCGTAATTTTTCGGTAATATATTGACGGTTAGTTTTTCTCGGTGGTATATTTTTATCGTAACTCTTCGTTAAAATATTGACGGTTACTTTTTTTCGTGGACGGTTATTTTTCGGCTGTGTCTTTTTATCGCAACTTTCTGTTAAAATATTGACGATTATTTTTCCTAAATTGTGTCTTTTTATCGCATCTTTTCGTTAAAATATTAACGGTTATTTTTGGGGACAGTTCTATTTGTTCAATTATAGTCATTTTTTTCAGTTTACGGTTGTGTTTTTATAGTTGCATCTATTCAATTAAAGTTACGTCTCTTCAGTCTTCATTATATTTCATTGTATTTTTTCTTCACAACTATTTGTATGAATAATTGTCTATTTAAATGTTCGTGACTTTTGAACTCTATATATTTGTCCTTCTTTCTAAGTAGTTTCCAAATTTTTGTTCTTTAACATAGATTATTTGTTTTATGATGAATCCAAAAAAAAAAATCTGTAAAATAGATCTAAATTCTTTATTCTCTAAACTATTTCTAAACATACATTATTTTAATATTAAAAAAAAAATTCTCATTTTTGATTTAACCAAAGTTTTTTGGAATGATTATAAAAATGGAGAAGTTTTAATCATCTTTAAATATAAAATTCTAAGGAAGATACCAACAATTATTTTCTTAGAATTCGACGGATTATACAGTAAATTTTTTTACTTAACTATTTTATATGGTAACAATTATTCTTTATATCTTAAGGCAATATATATGGGTTGTATACAACGAAATATTGATGCTGAGGTAGCACCATTACAAAGTATGCATATGAGAAGACATCCTCATGTGGCGCTTGTGATTGGGCGCTTAAAATGTGGTAAGCGTCAAATAAACCGTTTCAAATGGTATAGTTATCCAGAAATCATCTCCATTATTAGAAAAAGCAATGATTCCAGTTCGTCACACAAATATTCAAGGAAAAAGTTTTTTTATTCAGTTAATTTATCAATACAAATATAAATTTATGAGATTTTGTAAATGTTTATTTGTTTGTATTTACGCCATCAAATTTTATATTTTTCGAATATATATGAGAATAAATATTAATTTTATATTTAAAGAACAATGGACAAACAAAAAATACCAATTCTCGGACGAAGTTCTTAGTCATCCACAAGTCGTGCTGAGTACCGACTCCATCCAAATTTTTGGGTTTTGACCGTTAGAATTTCTTATCTCTATATTAAAATTCTTTTTTATGTATTTTGTCACTTATAAATAATTTTACATTCATAAAAAATGTTTCAAAAGTATTTTTAATCATAATTCTTCTTTTTTATATTTTTATTCATAAATTGTTTTAACATCTTTGAAAAATATTTATGATATAACTTTAAAACATAGTTAATTTTATGTAATAATTCAAAATTTTGAATATATTATCATAACAATTTAATACATAAACACAATCAAATATATTTGTTGAAAATGAGTTCCCCCGCGACATCGCGGGGGTTCATAACCTAGTTAAGATAAAGAAAATCAGTGTCGCGACAAGAAATAAAAAGAAGCTTTTTAGGTTTGTCGCACGGAGTTGGTGGTGGGAGAGTGCAGTGGAGACGCATGCGTGGTTATTTTTAATTATTGCTATTATATAGAGATTATTGATATTATAAAAGTGTGATGCGTTTTTTTTTTTTTTTTTTTTTGTGTGATGCGTTTTGGTTTAGTTGTTTTCTAATTCACGTGATTCTTTCTGAGTTACAATTAGATCCGATAAAAATATCACGAGACATTTATTTCTCCTCGTTGTATCTCCCAATTTTGGCCAACTCACTGCATAGATAGATATAGTGTCTGACTCATTTTTTGGGTGTCATGATCTGATTCCCGATCGTGATGATTCACATTGAAAATGACAGGGGGAGATTTAGAAATAAAGTTTCAAATATCAGTGTCTTACTCTTATCTGATAGGTCTTTTTGTGGTATGATCTGGATTTTGACAATGATATTTAGAAATGAAATTATAATTCCTTAATTTTGATGGAGATGCATATAGAAAAAGAGTTACTATATTGTTGGATGTAGGGTTATTAGCTAGTACTAATAGATTCAAGATTCGTCATTATGAAAAGTGTGTATAACTTCACTTACATACTTTGAAGCAAAAAAAAAACTAAGCAATTGAATTTTCCGATATACTCATCGAATTTAAAGAAAATGAGATAACAAAGAAATATCTAAAACAATTAAATATTTCATATGAAAAAACTGTCATGTTCCTGTTTTGTTTTTCCCTGCAAACAAATTAGCTTCCCAGAGCATATAAAACTACAAATTTGCGGATAAAATACGAAAAACTGACATTTTGCTAAATTGCATTTAAATATTTTAAGACATATGATCAAATTTATAAAATCATTCATCAATTAGGTTTTAACCCGTTACTTGATATATTTACTCCATCAAAATAATGGAAAATCAACTTAAAATAAAGTTTAAATACGCAATCGTTAAAACTTGAACGGATCCCACATCGGTTAAGAATCAAAAGGCTAAGCCAAACTTTTGTTTCTGACAAAGGAGTCCCACATCGCTTGGGAATCAGAAGGGTAAGCAAAATCTTTTTTTATAAATAAAGGTGTCTCTACGCCTAAACGAGGTTTGCACAGTTTCCATCTTTCTTTCAGTCAGACTAAACTAACGATGTCTTTGATTAAAAACTCTTGTCTAGAACCAGAATCCAAAAGGGCAACATTAAACTGCGGTCACTTCTTCGTCCGTTACGGAATCTGCTGTAACTGCAGATCGACGGTAGATAGAGAGTACGGCCGAGCATTCGACTATCTCGTCCATGGTTTACAATTAAGCCACAAAGCCGTTGCGGTTACAAAGAGCCTTACTACACAATTGGCTTGTCTTAACGAGAGAAAGCTTCATCTAGTCCTTGACTTGGACCACACGCTTCTCCATTCTGTTATTGTTTCACGACTTTCCGAAGGAGAGAAGTATCTGTTGGGAGAATCAGATTTAAGGGAAGATCTTTGGACACTCAACAGAGAGATGTTGATTAAACTTCGACCTTTTGTTCACGAGTTTCTGAGAGAAGCCAACGAGATTTTCTGCATGTATGTCTACACGATGGGGAATCGTGACTACGCTCAGGCTGTGTTGAAGTTGATTGATCCGAAGAAAGTATACTTTGGGGATAGAGTCATAACAAGAGACGAGAGTGGTTTTTCGAAGACGCTTGATCTTGTGTTGGCTGATGAGTGTGGAGTTGTGATTGTGGATGACACTCGTCATGTTTGGCCTGATCATGAGAAGAATCTGCTGCAGATCACCAAGTACAGTTATTTCAGAGATTATAATCAGGAGGAGTCAAAATCTTACGCAGAGGAGAAGAGGGACGAGAGTAGGAGCCAGGGATCATTAGCGAATGTTTTGAAAGTTCTCAAGGAAATTCACCAAGAATTCTTCAGCGGCGGAATTGAGAAATTAGATTCAAAGGACGTGAGGCTGTTGCTACAGGAACAACACATAGCAATTTAAATCAATATTTGCTCCCAAAACATAAGCCATCATAAACAAATTTCCCCTTTTATATCAAGAAGCAACAAGCATGAAAAAGGTTAAGTTTTACTAGTTACAATTAATGGAGTTAGGTAAGATAGCAAAGGTGGAAGTGGAAATTTACGTATTCATCATCCGATGAACATTGCTTGGTTTGCACTTGATAGATGCTGAACAAAGGTTCGACTTATGAGCTGGGGGTTCCATATTGTTAAAATCTTGACGTATGCACATATGTTTACGCAAACATAAGTAGAATACATACTTTTAACTTTTGTAATAGTGGTTGAGAAATTTTAAAAGTTGTGTTTAATATTTCATCCTGCGTCTCATCAAAGAAAAGACTGAACCTATTACAATATTTTGTTTTGCTAATGATATTTGTGAAAATTCTCAATATATAGATAGACTATATATATAAACGACTAGGATTTGATGCTTCTAACTTCCCTTATAATAGAGGGGACAATAGATGCCAAGTTTGACATCCCCTTGGCTTTTTGGTTGTGTTGTTCTCATTCTCTTATCCCCAAGTGAATTTGAGAACTCGTAGGACAAGATTTTGATCCATAACCTTTCTGCTTGACCACCAAAAACCAAAGTTCGGTCTTTTTGTGTCCGGTTTTGGTATGTATAGAGATGGAGAGGTAAGAGAGTATGCATCTGGATCTCAAATCCCTCGTTATCATATCCGGACAAAAAATGCTATTTATAAAAGTCTAGACCAAAGACAAAAAACGTTTTGATCTATTCACACTTTGAATTATTTCTGTCTTTTCTGTCTATTCACAAAACTCAGACTTAGTATTACGTAGTAACGTGTCATCGTGGCAGACACGAAATTCCGACACATAAAACAAATATACATTGAAAAAGCAACGAAGAAAATTCAAGAAGTAGCTTTTACTTCATTACTTGAAGTGGTTTTGGTCGATCCATGGTTCTTCTCCTCCACAAATTAACTTCACTCTTTGGTTTCGGATTCGGACATTGACTCAAACACTCTGGCTGAGTCAGAGGCATACTCACAGAGCATGGAATCATTACATCTTCTTCGTCATCACCGGAATAGAAACCACGGCGATGATCCGATTGAGATTGCTCACGCTTCCAATCGAATCTACCTAGAGCATCTCTACTGCTTGCAAATTTCTTCATTGTACCCAATGAAGGCGCCACCGTGACGGCTTCCACTGCTGCCGCCGGATGTTCTCTTTCGGCAGCGGTGGAGTTGGATTTTCTCGACGGATAACTTCTCATTGAGAAGAGACGCTTTAGTTTCGAAAAGCTTCTATTGTCTTCTTCTTTAATAACACAAGATGATAAAGACGACGACGCCGCTTTGAGATTCTTAGGTGCTTTGATTTTCTTCTCCGGACATTTAGGTTTAGCCAATTTGATCTGACCGATGCAGGAGACTTTAGGCGAAGTGGGTTCGGCGAAAACGGCTTCGTTTTTGGTACTTCTCCGAACTCTAGCCGCCGTGGGAACCAACGGACTAGAGAAGAAATATCCTCTGTTCGCCGTCGACGTCGTACGGTACTGACGAAAATCTCTCCCTGGACTAAACGGCGCCGCACTGTGACCAATTGACAAAGCTCTTTGAAGCATTTTCGAGAATTTCGTGGACTTGTTGTTGTTTGAAGCTTTTTCCATTTATTCTTAAAAAGTTAAACAGAGATTCTTGGTTTTATATCTTCTGTTGTGTCTGAAACTTCTGAGAAAGCGAGGGATAAAAAAGAAGAACAAGATTGAAAATGTCAACGGTGATGACGTCATTGAGAAAGTTTTGGTCAAAGCTGAGCTAAACCGGAGAAGGCTTATGTCATTTTCACACAAATTTGACTTAAACCGGAGAAGACATTTATGTCTTATACGGCCGACTTTGCCCCGGTTTAGAAAATTAAATGGTGAAGTGTACTTATGTTTGGTTTACAATTTTCCCTTTTTTTTTAGGTTTGCCTTCGTCTTTTACGCGGATTAGTTTAATTGTTTACTAGATGAATACCCACGCTACGCGTGGGTTGTTGTTATAAAAATTATTTAAAAAATCAAGTTGCTTGTTCTTATTATTAATTTATGTTCATTATGTGTGTTATTATGTAGTTAATAAAATTAAATACATCTTATGTAGTTACAATTTTTATAATTAGATTCATTTTTGACTCGAAATATCAATGTATACTTTTCATCTATAAATATGATTATTTATATACCTAATTAAGATCCTAATATATGATATATCGTGAATACATACAACAACAATATAAGATATTTTGATATAATGGTATGTAATTATGTCACTTGTGTAATTTGATACTTGCCTAACTTGATTATGAACATACAGTTCAGTATTTTATGTACTTTCATGATCTAGTACTTCACCCACATCGTGATAGGCTCATGATTTAATATTGGAATGACATAATTTGAACAAGATAACTATAACTAACTACTTATTTGCTTCTTCAAGAGTTTTCATATGAAAAGAAGAAAAAGAAAGCAAAAAATTGAAGAGTTATTTAACTTAACACTTTTATATCTCTGCCCTTGCATATAGCCATATAAGAGAAGAGTATCGTGTCTTGAATTCTTTGGCATGTCTAACGTTTCAAAAGTTCATTACATGAAAAAAACTTGCATGTCAATATTATCAACAGACGTCACATATGAACCACTAAACGTAGTTACGAAAAATGACTCAAAGAATTACTAAACTAATAAGAAATTAGGTAACAAATAGTTAAACTACAAAATAAGTAAATTTTCAGTTATTATCGAGTAATGATCATTGATAAAAAAAATTACTAAAATAAAAACTGTAAAATGAAAGTAATGCTTGATATATTAACATGATTTTGTATATTTTTTTATTTATTTTGAAAAAAATAATTAAGAGTAGAATGATTGAAGATTTAATGTAATGGAGGACTTTTGATTTTCCTCATTTACTTTTGTGAAATTTTAATTCAAATGATGTAAAATGACACATGTCATTTTTATGTGTGATGATGTGGCACTCATATGGAGAGAGTTGACCAACTTTTATATATATGATTTGACTTTTAGTCCCACATGTGTTGTGCTTGGACAATAAATTATACTAATTATTAAGCCACGTGATTTATATGCTTAATTGTGTGGGATTAATTTATCATAATAATTAGTCCATGAACAGCTAGTAAACCGATTATTAATTGGATTGAAAGCGACGTATAAAGTGAACACTTGTCCTTTTGGCTTTTGGTCAATAAACGACAAAGTGTGTAATGATATAATAGGTCACATAACAAACATATCGTATATATTTGTCAATACTATTAACAATTTTATTACATTTTGACATTGAACGTTGAGAACTACTTCCTCTCCTTAGTCTTCTCTTGTTAAATGCTGTTTTACATTTTTTTTCCTTCCTTCATGACAAACCATGGTATATGTACACACACATTATAGCGAAAGATTCAATTTCAATTTTGTCTAAAATTCAAACAAATTTTTTTCCGTACTTTCTCTATTTTATATAAAAAAAAATCTATAAGATTTATGGGACAAATTATGAAGAGAAGTTAAAGTATGGAAGTTGAAACATAAATTCAGCCAAATTTATCCTTTGTTTTTTCAAAAAATTATGATATATAACACACATGATGCAAGTATAACATACTAGAAAATGACAGTTTGGTTATGATTATGATCGATGAAATTTAAACGGATTGAATAGTACTTGTTATAAAGTAATAAAAATCAACAGTAAAGAATTTTTTTTTGTTCTTAAAAAAAGTATTCACTACGTTTTGTGAATACTAGAAAAGTTGCATTTCCTGAGAAAATGAAGAAAATCTTGCCGAAAAAAAGAGTACATGGTTCAATAATCTTCTTGATAACAAGTGTTGTACCCAAAACAAAGTTACAATTTGATTGCTTTAAAATATCCTTAAAAATTCCTGAGAAAAAGAGCTTATTCTTTGATGCTTGGAAGGTTCCTAGTTCCTATAATGGCCGAGTAACGAGTCCCTTTTGAATCATCTTCTCCACCAGCTCTTCATGCTTCTTCAATTGCCCAGCTTTTCTTAACTGAGCAAGAACCATCTCATATAAAGACAAGCTCGGTGTCAAACACTTCTCTTCAACCATTTCTTTAAACAACTTATAAGCATTATTCCAATGTCCCATCCCACAAAACATTGTAACCAGAAGCCTATAGGTAGTCACATTCGGTTCAACCTCTTTATCATCCATTTCCTTCTTCATCTTCAGAATCATATCAGTAGATTTCGACCCGGCAAACATCCTCATCAGAATATTATAAGTCACCGTATTCGGCTCACATTTTGCTTCCATCATTTTCGAATACATCCTATGCGCGCCATTCACGTCTCTCTTCTTCTCGATGTACCTAAATATCGTATTGAAAGTCGAAGCATTCACTTCACACTTCTTCTTGATCATCGTGTTCAAAACCTTGACCGCGTTTTCCAGATTCTCATCTCTGCAATGAGTCTCAATGAGGAAGTTATAAGTAATAGTATCAGGCTCGCATCCTAGCTTCTTCATCTGGTTATAAACCTGCAAAACCTTCTCTGTTCTTCCTGCTTTCACATGAACCCTCATCAGGTTATTGAAAGTAATGGCATTTGGAGCACAGCCCGAATCTAACATATCCGCAAAAACATCATGCGCACGGCTGATTTGCCCGCATCTACACAACGCATCGATCACAATGCTGTAAGTATACACATTAGGTTCAATCCCAGCCAATTTCATCTCCTTGAACACTTTCTCTGCCTCAGAGATTTCACCAGCTCTACACCACCCACGAACCAAATTGGTGTAAACTATAACATCAGGCTCGAACCTATCTTTCAAACTATCGAAAAACGACTGAGCTTCACTAGCTCTCCTCTTCCTAGAAAGATTACTAATAACTATCGAAAACGCGATTTGATCAGGAACGCAACCGTAATCTTCCATACGATTAAAGCAATGTACAGCCTCTGAAGCTAAACCAGCTCTAACATAACGTCTAATCAAAATCGTGAAGGTTTCAATCGAAATTTCGACGTTTCTCGATTTCATGAGATCAATCAAATGCCAAGCTAAGTCGAATTGTCTAACCTTTCCTGCAAGATCAATCATTTCGTTGTAAGGATGAGGCGATTTTTGGTCGTAATCGTCTCGTGAAGTGGCCCAATTGAAGAAAGCTAGAGATTGGTGAAGAGGGATTCCATGGCGGACACTGCCGCACTTCTCTATCACGCATCGCACGACGGAAGGAGAGATTCGAGAAGCGTCGATTTGGGAGAAATCGAGGGAGAGAGCAGGGAGGGTTAAGCTAGGGTTTAAGACGGCGTCGTTGGGGCTTGTAGGGTTTTTGCGATAGTGATCTTTGATGATTGAATGGAACTTTTCTATGGTTTGTGTATCTTCTGGAGTTAACAGAGATGAGATTGGGACAGAGACGACGCCGGTTACGGTGGCGGCGGATTCGTCGTTTTCATGGTCATTGAGTAGAGAAGTTGGGGAGGTGGAGAAGGGTTTTGGTAGACGAGGAGAGATGAAGTAAAGGGTTCGAGGAAGATGGAATTTTGATCGGAGTAACGCCATTAATGGAAGAGTTTGGTCACTCTCTTCTAAATGTCGAGCAGAGTGGCGATGGTGAAGAAGGAGGAAGAGAATTATTGAAAAGGTCAAATTTGCTTTGCTTCCGAATGAAAGCTGAAGCGTCGTCGTTTTGATATATTCCCTATGTATTTATCCTCTGTTAATTTTGTCAATTCATGGTTTGAAGCTATTAGTATTACCATAGTCATTAGTTATTTGGTCAATGATTTGAATTATCAAAGATTGGTTCGAAACAATATCAATGGAAAAATTGGATCTAAGATCCATAATTTCTTGCTAATAACCAAAAGTTCAATATATACATGCAATGAGTATTTTTAAGTTTATAGCAAATCATAGGAGCCAACAAAATTGTTCAATACCCTGAAACTTTTAGAATTTTATATAGACCTATGATTCAAATCTTATGTATAAGTTATGGTGTAAAAGTTCTTCATATTGTAATAATATATTCTCGAACGAAATTCAACTGATTATGTAATCTATTGCCTTCCACTAAATAAAAAATTTAACGGCAAAAAATACGTCAAAGTCAGAATTTCATGAAAAAAATCTACTAATTCTATTCGCATATATAACACTAGTGGATAAACTCATACATTAAAACACATAGTCGTTTACACGTATTATATGATGCAGGTAAGATCATGGTGAGTCATTTAGATGAAGTATTTATTGGATGATGCTACTTGTTACTTTTTAGTCATTTGAAGTTTATATGCAGGCAGCTTGACCATACCAAACATATATGATAGTTTCAAACCCAGCTTATTGGATAACAAATTAAATTTTTTTAAAAATGTCAACATGTCTTAAGTCTTGACAAATATCCTAATGACAAATGGTTTAGGACTAATTAAAAAAAAAAGGAATGACTCCTTCTAAAGCTTAATTCTTCTCTAATCTACATATCATTCCATTCAGAAGTCCTAACAACACAAGCTTATGCTGTCTTCTCCATCTAATTCTTACTCGGACTAGTATTTAAGTCCTACTCCGACCTTAATTCTATAATTGTATAACCTTTTTTGTTGTTTATCCTTAATTATCACTCCAAACATTGAGGGAAAAAAGCAGAACTCAATTAGTAAAAACCAAAAAACAATAACAGAAATAAACTGGGTTCTTACCACTTATTGCCGTCGGCGCCGGAGAATGAGAGGAAGGAGGAGTATGTGTCTTTGAAGAATCTGATTCCGTCCCGTTATCCAGTTGGGACTCAAACGCCTCCGTTCGAGCGTAAGCTTGAGTCCTCTAAACGGCGTTACGTCAAAGTTAAAGAGCCTCTCTTTGATCCGGAGACTTCCAAGCGTATATATTGGCGCGACGAAGTACCAGTTGATGAAGACCAAGATCAAGAACACAATCATGGGTGTTTCTGTTTATTGAAGAGAAGCTTTCGAGGAACGATCGATAAGTTGTTTGGTCCTCTTTTTGGATTACTTTAGTTCGACGAGTTCGTTGTTGTACATGTGAATCATGATTGAAAGAGTTTTTTTTTTTTCATTTGGGAGAATCTATGATTTGTTGTTGGGAACGAAAACTGCGACACTATTTTAAAATTTATCATATACTGTTTTCTATGCGAGTTTGATTTTGTTGGGGACGCCTATGAAACTATGAGTTGTGTTGCACCCATTCTATTCTAATAATTTATAGTTTCTGATCCAGGCTTAGATAGGCACATATAAACATATAACCAACTCCTTAAAATAAGCCTAATAAGCCCAATTTGTTCTATGCTTCTTTTTTTCATTTTGTGAAATTTAGATTCAATTTTGGTTTTGACCAAAAAAAGAGATTCAAATTTCGTAAAGCGAATCAAACTATCAATGGTGTTTTAGTTGCAAACGTTCCGTTGACCGATTGACTTTCTCGTTATGTAATCCGCGTAATAATTTGGGTTTCAGCACATTTTTATCATATAGATTTATTCATTTATATTCATAAACTTTATGTATTTTTCATTACATTAACAACAAAAACGCAAAAATTTATTATCTACAAATTTTTATAATTAAATTAAGATTTATTTGCTAGAAGAATTGATATTGTTTCCATCATAATAATAATAGTTTAGAAAAAGTATTCTAATTAATACTCCCTCCGTATTTGAATAAATGTCGTTCTAGCCTTTTTTCTGTGTTTTTAATTAGTTGTCATTTTAACAACTTTTGCATAAAATTTCCTAAATTACCCCCAATTAATTGATCATAATTAATCAGTCTAAATTACCAAAACTACAGATACGAATCGTTTGTAAAATAAAAATTCCAGAAAAACATTCAACACGTAGAATTATAAATATTGTCTCTGTTGTTCAAAGCAAACAAAAAATGGAAAATCACACAGAAAAAACCCTAAAAGCAGAACAAGATGAAACAAATAAAATCATCAAAGTGGTGCATGCTTTCGACCTCAACGAACTCCCCATGGAATATGCTTTCGACCTCAACAAACTCCCCATGGAAGATGACCTAGAAGTGAACAAGGAAATCAAAATTGAACCTGAAGTCAATCCCAAATCTGTTCATGATTTCGAAGAGAAGATACCAAACAATGAAGAAGAAGAACCACATCATGCTAACGAGATCGAGGATTCCTCATGGTTATATCAGATTCTTAAAATTTATTGTCCATCGCTGGAACCACATCATCTATCTAGGAAAAAATCTGTCTCAGACTAGTCTCGTTTCTATTTCTCCTTTTTTCTTTTTTCGATCATCAATAAAATTGTTTCTATTTCTCCACTATATCAGTATATCAGAACTCATAGATTAGCACACAAGAGAGAATGAAGGATGCACACAACAAATCCATTGTTGGGAAAGGCAACGTGTGGTATGATATGTCTTATGATGATGCTATTAAGCAGACATTAGAGAAAGGAAAAGTTGAGCCTAACTTGGCGACTCAAGAAGACGAAACAGAGTCTGAAAAAGAAAAAGAAGAATCTGCCACAGCATTCTTAAACTACTCTTATACAATTGAAAAGACGTACCTTAGCCATCTTTTCTCTCTTCTTCTCCTCTTCTTCTTTCTGCAATACACAAACAACTCAATGCTTTAGTAACTAGGAATAAACACAAGTGAGTTTTGACTAAAGAGAGAAAATACTGAAATAGCTACAAAACCTATAGCTAACCTTAATCTCTTAATTGATTTAACACATTGTTTACAATGGTAAGATCACATTTGATTTGTCTCGGAAGCAGACCCTCACGTTCCAGGGCTTCTTTCTTTATGTGTGGAATCTTGTAATTATTAGATCCTCCAATCCTCATTGTCTCTTGCATGCAGAGTTGCAAAGTTAAGAAGATGTGGTTTATCTTCCTAGCTGGATACTCTTCAAAAGCTGTTTTGACTGCATCTATAAGCTGTTCAATGCTTTTAGGACAAACCTTATGTTGTAGTGCTTGTATTGCACTAAAGAAACCAAGGTCCAAAACATTCATATCCGGTGAATTAGGAGGTTGACACATCAGTCTGATATCAAATCCGTTCTGCGAAGCCTGTTCTTGAAAATCTGTATCAGTAGGAGCCACATGAGTTCTAGCATTATCCTGTTGAATGTAGATTATTTTTCCATCATCTTCAAGAGGCCACTTCTCACGAATCTTAGGTATAACATCTTCCAGCAACATTTTTCTTACATGCTCTCTCTTGACTGAGGTAACTGGTTTGATCTCCAGTGTTCCAGCTTCTCTATTTCTACTCCTCCTTTGTGCAGGTTGAACTGTGACGAAAGGAAACACACCTATCTTTCCAGAGAAAGTTTCAACTCCTTCAGCATTGAACCTTGGCCTAGCCATTGCAACCAGCACCATGACTTTCCCAATAAAATTCTTGCTTTGACATGTCCTTAAAGGATCATCTTCTTCAGGTAGGAGGTAATAGTTCTCGGTTCTCTTGGTCATATAGAACCACTTTTCATCAATATGTACAATGTTGTACATATCAATAAACTGTGGTTCATGACTCAAACTTGCAGGGTCCAACATAGTCATACAAAACCTTAGCCTTGCCACTTTGTTCTCTTCTTTCAGATGTGGTTTGAGAGCATTAGAATGCCGCCTCATTAAACCTTCTTTCACATTCTTATACAGAGTTGAGTGACTAATTCCTATAGCTTCAGCCATCGTTCTCAGAGTTGTCCTCTTATGTAGAGGAGTGTCCAAAACACGTTGGAGGTCTATCTGCATCCTTTTGCGACCACATCTGTTCTTCCTTCTTTGAGAAACATCAACCATTGCACCAGGTGGAGTATCCTTAGCTCGTTTCCAAATTCGCTGAACCGTTCTAATATGCATAGAATGCAAAGTCGCTACTTCTTTAATAGCTGTTTTACCTAATTTCCCTCTAACACTCCTTCCAAGCAAAGCAATATATACTTCCCATCTTTGACGATTAGTGCAGTTTTTTTTACTTGTAGAGCCTAAACAAATGCGGAGAAAAAGTCTATTAGAACCTGAGGAACAAATGTGAAGTCTGACAAACTGATTTGTGTTTAAGATTCTCTACCATTAAAATAAGCTAAGCATAAACCTTATTATCAAGTGTAAGAGGAGATTACTCAATCATCTATCGCAGTTCACTTTCACACATGATTCTAGGCAATCAAACAAATAGATACAAGCTGAAAAATTCATGAATTCTGTAGCAA